AACAAGTAAGTAGCTTATAATTATAGCTATTTACTTGTTATAAAACCTATATGTTATATATGGTTTAAAACAGACTTTAAAATAAAAAATGTTTTCAATTTCCGAAATTTGAGTTATGTTGCTTGTGATACTTTGGCAAAAAGTCATCGATATAATATTTGTCAATTATTAATTGTCAATTGTCAAACAAAAGTATAGAAAACTACAGGATGTGATTGAAGAAACGAATGAAAGAGAGCGCCTCTTTTAAATCTTTGTAACAAAGATATTAAATTATCTAAACTGCATTTCTCGAGCGTAATTCTTAAAAAAATCGCCAATCGAAATTTTTTTAGTATGTTGAATAAAATTGATTATCATTAACAAATCGTAAAAATGCCGCCCCCCCATTATGCCGCTCTGGGCCGTTGCCCGGTTCGCCCGTACCTCGGGCCGGCCCTGCTTATGCTCAACCAATATATACAGGGTGTCCCAGAACTCGCGCCACATAGAAAACCGGAACGTGCCGAAAGTAACGTGAAACACATATTTGAAAATTAAAATTGTCTAACGCAAATATAATCGAGATAAGAATAAAAAACGATAGCCAATCCCAATAGATGGCCATAGGGAATTCTTTAAATTGCTAGGATACTTAGGTTGCATTGTTGATAATAAAAAATATGTAAAATATTTTGTCCACTGGAATCCAATTCATTGTGACACTGCTGTCAAACTCCTGTCATTAATATTATATTAGGTTATAAATTAAGTTATTATAAATAATGTTTTCCTTAGATGATTATACTGAAATGATAATTATTTATTTATTTAGTGTGGGCGCAACGCCAGGGAGACAACGCGAGTTTTTTCCCAGCCCTTTCCTAATCGTTATTTTAAAACATTGGCGTTCTGAAGTATAAGTCATAGATTAATAACCTCATTTTTGAAAGCTTTTGACAACTTAGTAAATACAGTTGGCCAAAAGATTTTTAAATGTTTTTAATACAACAATGTTCTATCGTCTCCTAGCAATTTTTAAAGCTCTTACGTTTAACCTACACTGAAAAAAGTCTATGTGTTATTACACAATTTCTTCTGTATTTATTACAGAACTGTTTCTGTAAATTAATATTTACGTTAAATACAATGTGGATTAACACAATATTCCGGAAATATACAGAGTTCAATGTATTTGTACAATATATCCTTTATATTTACAGAGTGCAGTTTAACTACTCATAAAAATTATTGTAATTTTACAAAGTAATATGTGACAACACAAGCATTCTGTGATTTTAGAGCTTGCTCTGTAACTTTACAGAATCCACGTTATAAACTGACCAATCAGAGAACTGATGTGGTCACGCGATGTACAATTGGCGTCCTCGAAATGTGAACGATTTTTGGTTGTCATGGATTTTTTTCATAAAATTAATTCGTTTATTCCTGGCTTTGGCCAGTGGTGTTACAAATAGAGGGGATAATACTAAGAATAATTTTTAATTATATTTTAACAAACAGTAATATATACAATATTACAAATAAATTAACTTTAATTTTTATTTTGTACAACAATATTAACAAGTAGGTAATTAACAAATAAAAATATCATAGCCAATTTAACATATTGCTCAAGAAAATTGGTCTTTAAGTGAAATAGCTGCAGATTTAACTGTCTTAAGCTCTTCCCAATAATTTTCAACAGCATTCCGTGGATCATTTCGGTTTGCTGGCTTAAAAAACTGTGCTGCTGCTCATAAGCTATTGTTGTCAGGTATTTTAAATAATATGACCGGTAAACTGTTTTTAATTTATTTTAAAATTAAAAATGACACCAAGCTTATCTACTCCAAAACAACGCTCTCCTCTTCTTCTTCTCCGTCGGGATGGCAGCTCCCGTTTTTACCATCCGAGTAGTGGCGCCCTCCAGTGGCCACCTAACCTAGTACGGCTTTTTAAACTTACGTCTAACATTTCGGCCATCCTGCAAAATAATAATGTCCTCATTATACCACCACCTATGTTACCTAAATATTGTAGAAGTCTCCGATTTTAGGTGCTACTGGGCTCCGTAATATTTACTGTTAGTGCTCCATATGTCACTCCTATTTTGGTCTCAAGACAATTTCTCCTACTCAATTGTCAATCACCAATTTACTTCATGCGAGTACCTCTCCAGCTATACTCTCTTTTTGTTTTGTTGCTGAAACGGAAAGAAAGTTTATTAGTAATACACAAACCATTTTTTTTTGTTCCTGAAAGGGAAAGAAAGTTTATTAATAATACAGAAATCATTACATACAACATTCTCACACACATTCTTTCAAGGGGGCCCCACATTCACTCAGACTCACTCTCATAATCACTCATTAAATCATTCACACTATTGTATGGACGCAATGCATCCGCTGCGACATGCGCTTTGAACCTTTTGTAGCCTTTTACTCCTTTTATGGCTTCAATGACATATCGGTCATTACTGTTTACCTTGCACACCCTGAAAGGTCCATCATATTTATTTGCAAGCTTGCGATTTAGGCCCTTTTGACATTTATTCGTAGCTCCATGCCTCCATAACACCAAATCACCAATTTTGTATTTAATAGCTACTTTTCGTCGTTTGTCATAAGCAGTTTTCATCTTATGAGCAGCATTTTGTATATTTTCTGCAGCCAATGCGCGTTTTCGTGTTAGTTGTTGTCGCAAATCTACAGCTTGTGCGAGATCGTCATCTCTAAGCTTTTGGGTGTTAGTTGATTTGCCTCCTATAGTCTCCTTGCTACCTCCAGCACCCGACAGGCTCTCCTCTCCAGCATCTCCTGATTTTCTTGTGGTCGCTGCAGTTTTACCACCTCCCTTTGCCTGTTCTCCTTCTCCAACATTAGCGCGCTCTCCAGTCTCCAATTCAACAACTAAACCGCGACTTTCTCCATGTGCAAACATTAATTCACTAGGTGCGAATTTCGTACTCCTGTTTATTGTATTGTTTAATCCCCATACAATCTCTGGTAATTTTTCGTCCCACCTAGCTTCACTAGAGGCACTTGCTCCGATCGCCTGTATTAAACTCCTATTTACTCTCTCCACTTGCCCATTTGCCCGAGGAGTTGCAATAGCATTTAAAACGTGTCGCACACATTTTTCCTCCAGAAATGCTTTAAATTGTTTGCTAGTGAAAGCCAAACCTCTGTCACTAATAACTCTCCATGGATATCCAAATTCACCAAATATCTCCATCAGTTTCTCAATGGTCTCATTTGAATTGACTGTTCTAGTTGGCTTTGCTATGACAAATTTCGAGAATCCATCCACCAACACCAACAAGTAGGAATTTCTCCTAGTGCTCTTCATGAATGGGCCCAAATGATCGATATGCACAGTGTCAAAAGGCACTGGCCTCCTGTCTATTGGATGCAAATATCCTTCTCCTTTTCCATAGTCACCTTTTGAAAATGCACATCTTATGCACGATTGAACATACTTTTTAATGAACTTATTCATTTTGGGAAACCAATACTCCTTTTTTACCAATTCTGCACATTTATCGACTCCTGGATGACCAATATCATCATGGTACCTTCTTAACAGCGTAAATCTGGCCATATTGGGTACATACAATCGATCTCCATTATCTGTCTTGCGATATAATCGTTGTTGTTTAACTTTGTATAACTTCTGGGTCTCTCTGTCAGCAATATTCGAGTTTAAAGTCATTACCAATTGCTTTGCTTTGTAATCCTGCAATTGCACCGACAAAAACCAGTCAGTTTCATTCATGGTAACCAAATTTATTTCAATACAACGCTCCAATTCAAGTGGATTTCTGCTCAAAGCGTCCACGTGTTGCATTTTGGTTCCAGCTCGATACTCAACCTCCATATCATATTCTTGTATTGCCAACCACCATCTAGCAATTCGAGGCACCAAATCTCGTTTCAACAGAGTTGATCTTATGGCAAAACAATCAGTGATGATTTTGAAGTGAATGCCCACCAAATATGTTCGAAATCTCCTCACTGACTCCACGACAGCTAAAGTCTCCAACTCGTAGCTATGATACATCTGTTCAGCAGTGGTAGTACATCTGCTAAAATATGCTACTGGTCTCCAATCTTTGTCTCCAACTCGTTGCATCAAAATGCCACCAAGTCCATGTTTGCTGGCATCAGTATGCACCTGGGTTTCAGCTTGAGGATTATATATAGCTAGAAATGGTCTTTGACTTAGCAACTCCTTTAGTTTTTCATAGGCACCTTGTTCCTCTTCTCCCCATTTCCACGCGACATCCTTTTTTGTTAGACTGGTCAACGGTTTGGCAATCACAGAAAATCCCTCGATAAATTTCCTGTAGTAAGATGCCAATCCAACGAATTGTCTCACCGTTCGTACATTTGTCGGACAAGGAAAATCAAGAACAGCTTGTATTTTGCGTTTTCCAGGCTTTATGCCTTCACCACATACTTCATGTCCCAAATACTCAATATCATTCTGCATAAATGAACATTTCTCCAATCTCAGCTTCAGACCAGCCTCTTCAATTAGCTTTAACACGGCGTTTAATAACTTAAGACCATCTTGTTCTCCATGTGAAGGTATTAAGATATCATCCATGTATGCTAGCACTTCCTTGTGTCTCAATTTACCCAACATTCTGTCCACCATTCGTTGAAATACAGCTGGGGAGTTGGCCAGACCAAATGGAACCCTCAAATACTCGTAGTGACCATCAGGTGTTATAAATGCTGTTTTTGCCACCGAATTCTCATGCATTGCCATCTGATGGTAGCCTTGAGCCATATCCAGGGTAGTAAAATACCTTTTGCCACTCAATTTCTCCAATTGGTCTTCAATCAACGGCAATGGGTACCTGTCCTTTACCGTTATTGCATTAAGAGCACGATAATCTACGCACATGCGCACATCTCCTGTCTTCTTTGGTATTAACACCACTGGACTAGCGTAATTGGACTCTGAATCTTGGATAACACCAGCCTCCTTAAGTGTTTGTATTTTTTCTCTCACCAAACTTCGCTCTGAGTGTGACAATCGATAGGGTCTGTGAAATATCGGTACATCGGTTGTTGTTTTAATCTCCATTTTACCTATCGTCGTGAAACCTACATCAACATCATTTTTAGAAAAACATGCCTCCCTACTTTTTAATAATGTCATTAGTTCATTCTTACATAAATCAGACACATCCCCCATTTTTACTTGCCCAATTTTATCACCTAAACTAATAATATTCACCTGTGTAGTTTTGGTTGCTTTCTTTTTCTCTCCAGCCTTGGCCTCCTTGTTGCCTCCTAACTCCAAACGAAACAATACACGCCCCTTTCTCCAATGAATCTCCTTTTTTGTGAGATTGGTCACCTTCAGCAACTGGTTCTCCATTCCCAGCTTCAGAAGTTGGCCATGTATCATGAGGTAGCCGTGTTCAGTGGTTACAACTTTGTCCACCATAACAAAATCGCCACCTTGTTTACCACTCACGTCGACCTTGACCATCTGAGATGCAAATGATTTGCAACATAGCTCTTCTGCTAGCCGAATCACATATTTGCCCTCCTCCACTTCAGGCATACCAAAGCTGCTCATCCATTTGTCGGGACTCTCCTCCTCCAACAACATGGCCTTGCCCTGTCTGACCACCATTGTCAGGCCAGGCTGAGTGATAGCCTCAGTCCCGAGCAATATCTCAATGCGCCCCATGTCAGCATCTGTCACCAGCGGCCAGATGTTAATTTTAATGCCACTTATTGTAAGTAGCACCAAACACCTGCCTAGCGCCATTGTTTCTCCACCTCCAAAACCTTTGAGAATCACCTCTTCTCTCAATGGCTTAATTGAAGCTCCAATTTTCTCCACAAAAGCAGTGGACATCAAACTTTCCTCTGCTCCTGTATCAATGTAGCATCGAGCACTAACTTTCCCAACATAACCAAGCACCCTAAAAACAGAATCTAAAGGATTAATTAAAAGACTCACCCTAGTGTTTCGTTCTGTGGCCCCCTCCTGACTTCCTCCAGATGATCCTCCTTGTCGGTTCGGAAATGGTCCAAGAGGGCAGTCACGTGCTCGGTGCCCCACCTTGCCACACCGAATGCATCTCTCCACACGTGGGCGAGGACAATCCTTGCCTAGATGGTTCCCCATCTCCTGACAATTGTAGCAGCGAATCCGCGACACGCCGCTGGTAGAGGCTCCACTTCTCTTCTCCAATCTTTGCTCCTTGGAGGATTCTTGCCCTGCCTGCACCGAAGTCAAAAACCTCGTATACAATGCTTCAGGGGTCTTGCAGTTGGACGCCAAAGCTCCAATTTTGAGATCCTCCGGCAAGCCCTGAATAAGCAGCGAAACTGCACGCTCCCCCTGATGCAGGTCCACTCTACGCATCATTTCCAACTTTCGGTGATAATAATTAGTCAAACTCTCTCCATCTTGTTTGACTCTAAGCACCATTTGCTTAAGGGTGTCGGCAAAATCAGCTCTCCTTGGAAATGCCGCTGTCAAACCTCCTGAAAATTCCTCCCACGTTCTCGGAGCTCGGACACCATTGTACCATTCACGAGCAGCCCCCTCCAATTTGGCCTGCGCGATTAGTAACTGCTCCTTATCAGTCCACGCATTAGCTTCAGCTAACTCCTGAACTCTCTCGAGCCACCTCTCCACATTGGTGCTCTTATTTTCAGGGTTAAACGGCATCACCAGCTCCTGTCCCAAGCTTATAACCCCACCTCGATAGTTGCTTGAGGACTTGTCGTACCTATGGCTAGATGGCGTACTAGCGATTTCCTCCATACATTCTCCCACAGCTAGACGTGACTCCTGTCTTATTGTTCGACGCTGCTGATCAAGCAACATCCGTCCTTGCTGCTCGAGCAACTCCTTAAATAAGCCACGCATTACAGCCATGTTGTCAGCAACTGGTTCATTTTGACCGGCAGCCGTCTCCCTGCGTGAACCCTGCTCTGACTGACTCAGCATAGCCTCGTCATCCTCCAAATTGATCGACAGGTGGTCGCTCATTTTATAAAAACTCTAAAATTTCTCCAACTATTAATATAACGAATGCGCCTCACCTTTGTTTCGACTCTACTCCAACTAAGTCTCCAATTAAACGTAATAATTGTCCTCCTTTTGTCTCCAATTGAATTTCAGCACGTGGCACACCTAACCACAATTCGGCTTTTTACAACAACAGTTAATCACCACTTATTTTCTCCAATTCACTTATCTCCAGGCACTGCACTCTCGATCCAGATCTCACTTCTGAATTTGTTGTCAGGTATTTTAAATAATATGACCGGTAAACTGTTTTTAATTTATTTTAAAATTAAAAATGACACCAAGCTTATCTACTCCAAAACAACGCTCTCCTCTTCTTCTTCTCCGTCGGGATGGCAGCTCCCGTTTTTACCATCCGAGTAGTGGCGCCCTCCAGTGGCCACCTAACCTAGTACGGCTTTTTAAACTTACGTCTAACACTATTTTAATACTTAATTACAGAGCCATTAGCTGCCACAACACTTTGCAATCTTCTTGGCATGGACATTACTAGTCGCATGACTCAGCAGGCTCTTCCCAATAATTTTTAATAGCATTCCGTAGATCATTTCGGTTTGCTGGCTTAAAAAACTGTACTGCTGCTCATAAGCTATTTTAATACTTAATTGCAGAGCCATTAGCTGCCACAACACTTTGCAATCTTCTTGGAATGGACATTATTAGGTATTCCATGTCGTATGACTCAGCAAGCTCTTCCCAAGAATTTTCAATAGCATTCCGTAGATCATTTCGGTTTGCTGGCCCAAAGTCCCGTTGATATAATTTTTTAACTATGAAACCACACGTTTTCAATGGGGTTTAAGTCAGGACTTCTAGCTGGCCATGGCAAAACAGTTATGTGGTTGTTGTTTACCCACTCTGTAACCACGCGAGCTGTGTGAATTGGTGCATTGTCCTGTAATATAATATATATTAGAATCATTTTTGTATACTATACAGTTTTCTAACATGTTGGAATATACCTAACATTTTCTGGAAACACATGTCTAACTGAAGGTAGCATAACGTTGTCAAAAATCGTCGTATAGCAGTTAATCTACCATCAATTTCCCAACATATTCCCGCACCATGGACGCTTATCAACTCCCAAATATTTATGGAAAATCGTCCACTATTTGAGGTTCTTAATGTGTAGTTATTCTCAATCTTGCGTCTCTTGGACGATATACACGCCACCTTCTATTATTGCAAGATTGGAACGTTTTTTCATCAGAAATTTTAACATTATTCCAAAATCCCTCTTCATAATTTAGATGGACTCTCCTGGGCTTATTTTCGTCAGTTAAAAAAACCTTATGAGCAGTATCATAGTTTTTTAAGCCAGCTGTTAAAGAGATCCTGGAAATTGTGTATCTTCTCGGACCTTAACTGCGCTATTAAAAGGATTTTAACTAATATGTGCGACAAGAGTATTGACTTCATTTTCTTTGGAGATTTTACATACACCTTGCTTGATAATCTTTGTTGTTCTTGCCAACGTTTCTTGATATAAAATATGCACCCTTTACAGATATTTAAATCTGCAGCCACTTCACTTAAAGACCAATTTTATTTTAATTTGGCTATTGTCCTGGACCTCTGAGCCTCAGTGGGGTGGAATTTTTGATTTTGCAATTGACAACTATCATTAAATTTGACAACTACCGACGACACTGATGCAAAGCCCATATTACACGATTAAATTTTGTCGTTCACATTTCGGGGACGCCAATTGTACATGGCGTCGCTTTATCCAGTATTCAGTGTCTTGTTATCGTTTATCTGCGTTTCTGTGAAAAGTATAGGTAAGTCAATACATTAAATTATGCACCTATATGTACCTAATATTTTTTATTAAAAAATAGTACAAGCTTTTATAGTAGGTACAATTGCAGATACCCGTTTTTTTTAACTAAACATATAAATTTGGTAAATCGTTGATTAGTGCTTACATCTCCAAACTTATTGACAGCAAACTACAGAAACAATTACCAAGAAAATATTGCTCCTGAGCCTCGCATTTTTTAAATTTTTTGTTGTGTTTTAGCTAATTTTCTAACGATTTCACCGTCAAGCCGTTTTTTACTCTGTTATAATTATATAACCTCCTATAGGAGGTGCATCGTTTACGTTTCCGTCGACCCACAATATATATGTTTATCTATAGGTAGGTACTTTTTAGGGTAATTATTATTAAAATAATGATAATAATATGATATGATGACATAAATAATACATGTTACTTGTTACATTTTCTAAATAAAAAATGTAAATGTTTTCTTTTTAAGTTTTACTTACCTGCCAACCTTTTTGATTTATTTTGTTAATAATAATATCAGTAAATATAAAGTTTTATTTAGAACCTCAGAACAGAAACGCCAAAGTTTGTTTATTTTTATTTAGGTAAAGCAGTTTACAACCTTAAAATTACTGGTAGTACCTACTTTTTAAGAGTTTGAACTCTTGAAAAGTATATAATTAAAAGCTATACTGATTTACATATTTTTTAATCAGTTGTACTCTTAAAGGGTACTAGCAGTAATTTTAAGGTTGTAAGCTGCTTCACATAAATAAAAATAAACAAACTTTGACGTTAATTGCTACGTCCAGTTTTGAGGTTCTAAATAAAATTTTAAATTTACTAATTTAGTATCGTAATTTTACATAAAATCTGTGGACAGACCTAAAGTAAAATCACAGTAAGTATGTTGTAATATTACAGTAATGTTTACGTATCTATTTTACATAAGACCTGTAAAATTACAGAACATCAGTAGTTTTACGTTATGAACCTATTACAGAAATTTTGTGATTTTACTTAACATATGTAATCCTTACAAAGCTACTGTAATTTTACTGAACAAAATGCAGGCAACAAATAACCCACATTTTGTTCAGTAAATTTACAGAAATCCTTTTTTCAGTGTAGGCGAGAGCTCTCGGTATTGGCTGCCGCTTTTTTGCTCTCATTCGATTACACTATTACCTAGAAATTTTTTATTTTTAAATTTGGCATCTCCATTGCTATCGGCACGCCCCCTTTTTCTCTGTGGCGCGAGTTCTGGGACACCCTGTATATTGGAGACTGAATCAGTCTGTTTGAATTTACTGCGGAAATAATATCTGTACTCGCGTAGTTGTTTTTATCTGACACTAGTGATGTATACTTTTTATAAATTGTTGAACTTTAAACGCTTATTTATAAACAATTGGACGGTCAAAAATTTTTAATTATTTTTTTTTAAACTCAGCAAAAATACATTATAAGACTGTTCGTTTTTTGAAAGCTTCTGACAGTTAGTTTTTTTTTATAACTAAGAAACTGGTACAGAACTACAGAAAGCGTATACAATCCATGTTAATTATCCAATTATTAATTGAATTTATCTCGGGTTATAGACGGTCAATCGACTTCAAATTTTAAGGATAATTGTATTGTCATGTCCTTAATAAGTATACAAAAATTTAAAATTTTCTGATGGTATGCTTACAGCACGACAACTACCTTAATGGTACCAAAAAGTTCATGGAAATACCTGAATAATTCTGAGGGTAAAAGGCAAAAAAAGCAATTTTTCAATAGAGCTTTTAATTCAGAAAATATATTTATGTTTAGCGGGTATACGCAAAGATCTTTGGGTAGGTATACGCTTGAATTTTTTTTTTTTTTGACTTATCACCTTACGCCTTTTACCCACAGAATTGTGAGTAAATACAAAACAGGAAATTCTTGTTTGACAGTCAAA